GCAGGAGACTTGGACTGTGTAGGAACACTGAGAAATCCAGGGAGGATTGTCTTCTAAAAGGGGCATATATAAATATATGTTTATGGCTTATATGTATATGGCACAGATACTGAAGGTTTGCAGGAAACTGATAATACAGGTTGACAGGAATGGAATGGGGGAGCTGGGATTGGGGGAAGGTGTTGTAGGTAGACTGTTAACTTTTTGGTTCCTTGTGTTTTGAACCATATGGAAAATGATACCAATTTGCAAAATAAATACAACTTATATTAAGAATGAGTATTGGGATTTATATTCTAGAAGTTCTTAGCCATGGTTTCTAAAATATACATAGTTAAATCTCGTGGAATTCAGTGGTTTGATAATTACATGAGGAAAATTTTACTCCCAGTTTTTGGATGAAAAGGGGTAATATTTAGAAAAATAAAGTTAAAGTAGCAACTAATATTTATTTGTTGATTGACAATATCATATATCTAACCAGTGTGAGGGAGGTCAAGTGAGGTATAGGAGATTAAGGCACTATAATCTCAAATGAGGATTAGAAGGTTGTATAATTTGTTCTTCTCCCTGTGTTGTTTTCCCTCCTTCCCCTCCTCCTCTCTTTTTTCTTTTTTCTTTTTTTATAGAAGTTCATTTATTTTGAGACAGAAAGTGTGCACTGAAGGGGCAGAGAGAGAGAGAGAGTAGAGAGAGAGAGAATCACAAGCAGACTCCACGCTGTCAGCAGGGAGTCTGATGCGGGTCTGGAACTCATGAACCGGGGGATCATGACCTGGGCCAAAATCGAGAGTCAGATACTTAACCAACTGAGGCACCCAGGCGCCCCTCTTTTCTTTAAAAAAAAAATTTTTTTGTCACAGGGATTTTGGTATGGGAAAATAGAAGAGAATATTCCCTTTTTTACTGGCGTTTTAGAATCTGAGTAATGACAGAAACATAATGTAAAAATAGTCTTTTTTTCCAAAAAAAAAGGCTGAAAGCCTGCTGCTCCAAAAGCAGGGTCAAATAGACTCTTCAGTTTCTTTTTTTTTCTTTTCTTTCTTTTTTTTTTTTTTTTTTTGACACCCATTCAAATTTCATAAGTTATATATCTTATAAAAATCTAATTGTGATATAGAGGGTGTCCGAAAAGAATGCCAAGCAAAAGGAATGCCTTTCTAGAGCAGGGAGAGCGCCCAGGTCAGAGCAACCCCAGGCTGGTTTACCCCATCATTAAACAAGGAAATGCCAAGACAGACTTTTCCTTTTACCCATTTCTGTCAGTTTTCTCCTCTTTGTGACTTGAATGAAAGAGCACAGGCTTATGCATGGATCCTAGAGATCCTTCGATGTCCCCATATTCTGGAAATTAACATTAAAAACTTATTAAAGTTAGGAAGCCACTGGGAAACAATCATGGAGATCATTAGATTATGAATGTCATTAGTTTTGGTTATTATTATCTCATGGATAATGACTACTTAATGAGCTTTGGGACATTAGGCAAGGTAACCTCTCTAAGCCCCATGACCTTATCTGCAAAATGGAGTTAATGATAGTACTGATCTCAGATGGTTGCTATGAAAATTAAGCAAGACTGAGTGCATTTCTGAGTGTTTTTAGTTATAAGCCTCTGAATCTGGGTCTGACTGGCTTAAGCAGAAAAGGATTTGGAGTGGATATAGGAAATCTCAGGCTCACTAGAAGGGCTGGAGAACTGGACTCAGACTTAATACAGCTCTAAATTATAGTCAAAGCATGATACACAGCTAGTCTGGGGATGACCTGTAGCATTACTGCTGAGTGTCAGATGCCACAGCCTGTGTCACCTATGCTGGGGCTGTCATTGATACTGTTGTCATTCCTGCTTTTAACATTTTTAAAAAAGGTTTATTAATTTTGAGCGGGAGAGAGAAAGCACCAGCAGGGAGGGGCAGAGAGAGAGGGAGAATCCTGAGCAGGCTTTGCACTATCAGCACAGTGCCTGACGTGGGGCTTGATCCCATGAACTGGGAGATCATGACCTGAGCCAAAATCAAGACTCAGATGTTTAACTGACTGAGCCACCCAGGCGCCCCTGTCATTTAAAGCTGACTGTTGCTATGTTGCCTCTTGAAATAATTCTATACTGTCCCGTATACTTTACATCACTGGCTTCTGGTCCAGAATGTTAGGTAAGTGATCCTGGGTCTTATGGCCATGCCTTGCAGCAGGAAGCCTAGAAGAGCAAGTTTATGACATCATTAACTTTTGATGTGTGTGTGTGGGAGGGACTTGAATACCTAGAAAACTGGAAATCCCCAAAGCAAAAGAGAGGAGTTCAGAGCTGGTCAGTTCCCAAACTGATAAAATTACCATTACCATGGAGTGCTTAGTACTATGCCTGACATGTGGTAGGTGCCCCCCAAATGTTGACTTTTGTTAATTTATAGTTGCCAGTTTTGTTGAGAAGCAAGGTTAGGGGGATTTCTACTCCCAGATACGGTTTTTGAAGCAAATGGATTAGAGTTGCTAGAGCAATAAAGGTGAATGGGCAGATGTAATTTCTGGGCTTACAGTTTCCATGGTAGCTCAGTTAAGTTCACTAGATGGCACCTCCCCACAGACTGAAATGTCTCAAAGGTAATTCTGGACAGGCTAGCTAAAATGTATAAGCAGCAAAAAACCCAAATTGCCACCAAGACTCCCTTACTATTCATTAGATACCTCCCTTTTCACCTGGTTTCCCATTTATGAGTGGTCAATAATAGCACAGTTTGGCCTTAGTGCCAGAAGACCTGAGTTTGAATCTCAGCTCTACCAGTGACTGTCACTATGACCTCCACAAGTTACTTAATCCCTCAAACTGTTTTTTGTGTGTGTTCATGTGTGTGCGTGTATGTGTGTGTGTAATAAATAATATTTAAATAATGCCATTGAGGATTTAAATTTAAATGAAAACTTGAAAATATCTAGCATATAGTGAGTAATGCCTTGTAAATATTTCTTTTAAAAACAAAACAAGAGGGAAGCCTGGGTGGCTCACGGTTTTGTGAATTTGAGCCCCACAGGGGCTCTGCACTGAGTGTGTGGAGCCTGCTTGGGATTCTCCCTCTCTGCCCCTTCCCCCCACTCATACTCTCTCTCTGTCTCTCAAAATAAATAAATAAACTTTAAAAAACTGTAAAAATTAAAAAAAAATAAAACAAAGAGCCCTGGCAATTACAGAATATCAAGTTTTACATTTCTTTTAAAAAATTGAAGAAATCTATAATGTAGATGTAAGCCAGTGTAATTTAGGGTACTTACTTCAGGGTACCCATAAAGTAATAGTTTTATAATAATACTAAGACATTATTTGCCTTTTTCATTCTCATTCTCTTATGAATTCAGTTTTCAGAGTCTATATGATATACTGTGTGATGTCACAACAGATTGAGTGAAAAAGCAGATATGGGAATCCAGCTGTCTTATGTTAATCCAGATATTAAAGAGATTTGCAAAAATGTAAAACAATGCTACTCTTATCACCAACTTTTTCTTTTGTTTTGGAAAATTTAGTTATTTTAAAATAAAGTGTTACTATGCAGTGGTGTTTATTATTTTTACAATAAATAACAAATATTTTTAAATTGCTGTTTTAATTTCTATTTTAACTTCTATTTAATTTATAATTTAATTACTATAAATAGATATAACCTACATAAACAAAAGCTCTTTGAGGGGCTCAGTGATTTTTAAAGGTACAAAAGTATCCTGAGACCAAAAAGTTTGAGAACTGTTGTGTAAGCAGAAAGTACCATGTTTTCCGTAAGAAGAAACCATGGTTGACTAATCTATTGGAAATAGTTTATTTAAGTACATGAACATGAGACAATTTTAAAAAATTCTTTAAGTTTAGCCTAACAAAAATACACACACACACACACACACACACACACACACACACGGGGATTAAGTGGAATGAGTTGCTATGGATAATTTATACAGAACTGGAAAATTTAAAAAGGAAATTCTTTTGGGTGAAGAAATGTGACTAATTAGTCTGATCTATACACTGAAAAGATGATTTGGAAGAATTATGGTCAAGTGGAAAGATCATTGAATTAGGAATGAAGAGACCGGTTTTATGTTCTGTTCCTGGCTCCTCAATTCCATAAATGTATTTTTGAGTAAGTAAGCTCTTTTTCTGTTTTGGATTTGCACTTCTTCAAATGAATGAGAATAAATAATTCCCACCTTGTTTTTTCTTTCATGCATTCAACAAATATTGTTTATTTAGTGTACTATGTTCTATTCTAAGTTATTGTGGATATAGTGATAAAATATGCAAGGTCCTGATGAAAGAAGGAAACAGTTCAATAAGAAAGGCAGGGATAAGCAAGTAAATAAATATATAAGCAATTATAAATTGTGATAAGAACTAGGAAGGATCAGATAATGTAAATTAAAGAGAAAATGCTACAGACTTACTTACATAGCACCAACAGGGATGGTTTCTTTGAGGCAATGATATTTAAACTGAGACCAGATATGTGAGAAGGAGCAGAGGGAATAGTCTTCAGCAACAAGAATTGTGTGTACAAAGTCCCTCAGGTGTGCCAAAAGTATGTAGACCTGAGGAATGGTAAAACAGTACAGAGTTGGGAGAAGTAGGTCATGCAGAGCCTTATACTCTCTGAAAAGAAACCTTCAGTTTAGATGTGTAAAGGGCTGAAATGTGTTCAAGGCTTAGAGATTTGTAAGGGATTCTTTGACCAGAGTGGGATGTTAGTGAATGCAACTTAAATATATTAAGGTGGTTTGGGTGGAGAATGAGCACCATTTCTCACAATTGTTCCTGGTTGATGTTCATAGGGACAGACAAATGATTGAGAGAGTGATTTTAAATCAGTATTAAAATGCTTAGGTTCTTACTACTGATAATTTGTTCAAAAGACTTAAGTTTCTTTTTTTGATTAGGTTCTTTAACTTACTCAAAATATATGTTAGATAACTATATATCAGATTTTTCTACAAATTACATCTGTTTATTTCAGTGCTCTTCTTTTTAATGAAGTAAAATATATTACCACCCTGGAAGACCTACAGAACATAGAAAATTCTCTGAAAGGAAAAGCAAACATTGCATTCTCATATGTAAGAGCCATCGGAACACCAGGTATTGAGCTTTTCTTTTAATCTTTGTTGTGCCTGTACACTTTTCTGAGAATGTTGAAGGACTTAAAATGGCATCCTTACTAGTATGTTTTCTTTCTTTAAACAAGCAGCATAGTATCGTGGTTGAAAAAAACCCTGGAGCCAGATTGCCTAGGTTAGATACCCTGTCCCGACAACTTACAGTATGACCTTGGACAACTTAATGTAACTTTAGGCTTTTTAATCAGTAAAATGGTGAAAATAATTTGTGCCTACCTTTTAGTGTTATTGTGAGGACCAAATGAATTCAAATAATTAAAGTATTTCCTGGCGTATAGTAGTGTTCTGGAAGTGTTAATTACTATTTTTATTTCCTTATAGTCCTCATGGTACCTGGTATAGTAGTCTATAGTATTTGATAAATGTTGACTAAATGCTTTTCTTTTTTAATATATACCATTTATGACTTTTTCCTGATTTAAAAAAAAATGTATAGTTCTGACAGCATCATCTTGAGCATTAATATATAATTTTGTAGTAAAGAAGTTTATAAACATGAACAAAGTATAGTTATGCTTTCAGGACTTTTATTTGTTAATGGTTGTAACTTGATCATGTTAATATAAAATGTTAAAGATATTTTAAAAATCACATATGCTCTAGGAAATAAAATCATTTATTGTAAATCACTGTTTAAAAAATGTTTATTTTTGAGAGAGAGAGAGAGAGAGAGAAAGAGGGAGGGGCAGAGAGAGGGGAACAGAGGATCCAAAGTGGGTTCTGCGCTAACAGCAGAGAGCCTGATGTGGCGCTCGAACCCACAAACTGTGAGATAATGACCTGAGCCAAAGTCAGCTGCTCTACTGACTAAGCCACGCAAGCACCCTGGAAATCACAATTTTTATCAACATAAAGCTTGATGGCTACATAGCATGCCACTGAATTTAATATACTTGTAAAATAATACTCTACAGTCAGCCTGTTTTTGTTTACATTTCAGGGTTTTCAGGTTACTGTTCATAGTTTTTATTTGTCCTCAGTGAAGGGATGAGCTAGAGAGGGTTTACATTGCTACAGTGGAACCAGAACTCCCTGATGTATATTTTAACAGGATCAATCTGACTTCTATGTTTGGAATAGACTGGAAGTAGCAACAGTAGAATAAGGAAGGAAAATTAGGTAGTTATTCCAATAAGGCAGGCGAAAGATGATGGTGGGTGGCTTGGACCAGGGTGTGAGCAGTGGAGGTGGCAATAAATTTGAATTCTAGCAGTATTTTGGATGTAGGACTAACTGAATTTTCTGACATATTAGATTCCGAGTGAGGGAGAAATAGCAGAGACAAGGGTGGCTCTGGGGTTTTAGCCTGAGTTACTTTAAAGGTGAAATTGCTGATAACTGAGGTGGGGAAGATTGGAAATAGTTTGGAGAGGAAGCTCTAGACTTTTTGGACATCATGCTTGTGAAATACCCTTTATACGCCCAAGAAGAGATATCAGCAAGGTAGCTGGATATTACTAATCTGCATTTGATGGTAAAGATATACACTAGGGTTATAAATTTGGGAGATAAAGCTGTGAGACCAGAAGAGATCACAAAGCAAATGATCCTAGATGGAAAAGAGAAGACTGAACTGTTTAGATCTGTCAACATTTACAGGTCACTGAAGTGAGAAGGAACCAGTAAAGGGAAGGAATGGACTGTGTAGTAGAGATGCCCTGTAAGCAAAGATAAGATCTTGAGGAAGAGATAGCAACAGTTGTGTCAATGATGCTGAAGGGTTACTTAAGATAAGAGCTGCCTATTGGCCATTCTTAGCAGTATGGAATTTGTTGGTGACCTTGACAAGTTTCTGTAGAGTGCTAAGGGTAAATGCCTAATGGGGATACAAGAGAATAGGTAGAAAGCAACTGGAGACTGTGAATATGGAGACTCATTAGAGAAATTTCTCGAAAAATGGGGCAGTGGTTGGAAGAGTATGTGTGTCAAGTGAAGAATTTCTTAAGAAACATATTTGTATGTTGACAAGAAAGATCCAGTAGGAAGGGGTAAATACAGCATGGAGGAAAAAGTGGGGAGAATTACTGAAGCAACATCTCTGAGTAGACAAGAGGGGATTGAATCTAGTGAATGAGGGGAGGGTTGGTTCTTTGTTGGGAGCACAGAAAATTCATCTGTGGTAAAAGGAGGGAAGACAAAGAATATGGGCCTCAATTTTAAGTGGGTAGATAAATATAATGCTTATGGAAGTTTCTTTGGTTTTGCTTTTTTAATTGGCTGTGTTTTCTCAGTGAACTAGAAATAAAATCATCAGATAGCTTGAGGAGAGAAGAGATTAAATAGTTGTTTTAGAAGGCCTGAAAATAAAGAATGGTTGCTAGGCAGCAATAAGAGTTGATATCAGTAATCTAAAGTGAGATCAGTATTATGGTGATGCTTACAGGTTTTTTGGTTTTTGCCCCCTCCAGCCATGTTTACTTTTATAGGTGTAAGTACAGAATAGGCAGAGTGGCTGATTTAACCTGGATTGTATTTTAGCCAGACAGGCAGGGGAGTGATTATATAAAGACTGACCATGGAATGTAAGCTGGGTTAAGAGGGAAGAGAAGACTTGAAGGAGTGAAGGACAGTGAAAATGGTAAGACTGTAGTTCCTGGAGGATTATGTACTAGACAGAGTAACTTTGAGATGGAGGGGTGTGTGTATTTATGGAGGGAAGAGGTAGTGCTGGGGATGCTAGACACTGAGATTTTGGAGGGGTTTGCAGTGATTGGGTTATTACAAGGCCTGGAGTAGGATCATAGCAGTGAGTGGTTAAGGTAGATTTGAAGAGAGATCACTGAAGTGTCTAGAGAAGACCAAAGACTGAGAGGCTAGGATTTTGCAAGGATCATCTATGGGGATAATAAAATCACAAAGGATTATAATGGGAGTAGTATTGGAGAGAGTAACAGTGTGACAGAAGCCAATTTTGTGTGTGTGTGTGTGTGTGTGTGTGTGTGTGTGTGTGTGTAATGAGGGGAGTTGTCTCTGGCTGGGGTGGTCATCTACCACTCAAAGGCAGAATGGTGAGGGGAATACTCTGATGATAATTGACTCAAATGGTAGAAGATCCACGGGGAAGAAGAAGATGACTGCCTGGAAATGGCAGTGAGGAAAAAAGGGAAAATGAAATGAAAAGGAAGAAATATTTCAAATAAATACTTTGAAAATATTTCCCAGAACTGAAGGATTTGAGCTTCCAAACTGAAAGGGCTCACTGAATCCCAGCGTAATGGATGAATGGATGAATGCTTTGCCACACCAAAGCATCTTATTATGCAGTTTCAGAATATTGGGAACTAACACTGTTCTAAAATGTTCCAGAAATAATGAAAGAGTGTATACATTTAAAGGATCAAGCATCAGAATGGCATTTGTCCTCTTAGTTGCAGCCCTAGAAACTGAAGAAAATGGAGCAATGCTATCGAAATTCTTAGGGGAAATTACTTGAACCTAGAATTCAATATGCAGACAACTACAGTTAGTTACAGTATAGAATAAGGACACTTTCAGAAGTGTAAGTTCGCAAAACGTGTATTTCCTATATCCTCTCACAGGAAGGTGGTAGAGAATGGGAGCAAGGGAGCAAAACAGTTAAGAAGATGTGGGTAACAGACCCATAACTAGTGAAGAAATTGAATCAGTTATCAAAAGTCTCCCAGAGTCCCGGGACAGATGACTTCCCAGGGGTAATTCTACCAGACATTTAAAGCAAAGTTAATACCTATTCTTCTCAATCTGTTCCAAAAAAATAGAAATGGAAGGAAAGCTTCCAGGCTCATTCTATGAAGCCAGCATTACCTTGATTCCCAAACCAGACAGAGACCCCACTAAAAAGGAGAATTACAGGCCAATATCCCTGACGAGCATGGATGCAAAAATTATCAACAAGATACTAGCAAGTTGAATTCAACAGCATATAAAAAGAATTATTCACCATGATCAAGTGGGATTCATTCCTGGGCTGCAGGGCTGGTTCAATATTTGCAAATCAATGTGATACATCACATTAATAAAAGAAAGGGTAAGAACCATGTGATCCTGTCAATAGATGCAGAGTAAGTATTTGACAAAATACAGCATCCTTTCTTAATAAAAACCCTCAAGAAAGTCGGGATAGAAGGAACATACCTAAACATCATAGAAGACATATGTGAAAAGCCCACAGCTAGTATCATCCTCAGTGGGGAAAAACTGAGAGCTTTCCCCCTGAGATCAGGAACATGACAGGGATATCACTCTCACCACTGTTGTTTAACATAGTGTTGGATGTCCTAGCATCAGCAATCAGACAACAAAATGAAATAAAAGACCTCAAAATCGGCAGAGAAGTCAAACTTTCACTTTTCGCAGACAACATGATACTCTACCTGAAAACCTGAAAGACTCCATCATCAGACTGCTAGAACTGATACATGAATTCAGCAAAGTTGCAGGGTACAAAATCAGTGTACAGAAATCGGTTGCATTTCTATGCACCAATAATGAAGCAACAGAAAGGGAAATAAACTGGCCCATTGACAATTGCACCAAGAACCATAACATACCTAGGAATAAACATAACCAAAGATTTAAAAGATCTATGTGCTGGAAACTATAGAAAGCTTATGAAGGAAATTGAAGAAGACACAAAGAAATGAAAAAACATTCCATGCTCATGGATTGGAAGGATAAGTATTGTTAAAATGTAAGTACTACCCAAAGCAATATAGACATTCAATGCAATCCCAATCAAAATTGCACCAGCAGCCTTCTCAAAGCTAGAACAAACAATCCTAAAATTTGTATGGAACCACAAAAGACCCCAAATAGCCAAAGTAATCTTGAAAAAAGAAAACCAAAGCGGGAGGCATCACAATCCTGGACTTTAGCCTCTACTACCAAGCTGTAATCATCAAGACAGTATGGTATTGGCACAAAAACAGACACATAGATCAATGGAATAGAATAGAGAACCTAGAAATGGATCCATAAATGTATGGCCAGCTAATCTTTGACAAAGCAGGAAAGAGTATCCAATGGAAAAAAGACAGTCACTTTAGTAAATGGTGCTGGGAGAACTGGACAGCAACATGCAGAAGAATGAAACTGTACCACTTTCTTACACCATACACAAAAATAAACTCAAAATGGATGAAGGACCTAAATGTGAGACAGGAAACCATCAAACCCCAGAGGAGAAAGCAGGCAACAACCTCTTTGATCTCAGCCACAGCAATTTCTTACTCGATACATCTCCAAAGGCAAGGGAATTGAAAGGAAAAATGAACTACTGGGACCTCATCAAGATAAACTTCTGCACTGCAAAGGAAACAGTCAACAAAACTAAAAGGCAACAGATGGAATGGGAAAAGATATTTGCAAATGACATATCATATAAAGGGTTAGTATAAAAAAATCTATAAAGAACTTAACCAAACTCAGCACCTGAAAAACAAATAATTCAGTGAAGAAATGGGCAGAAGACATGAATAGACACAATTTTCCAAAGAA